CCAACAGGGTGGGGACAGCAGCAGCCGTGCCTGCAAAAGGCTCAGTCCCCAGCCTGAAGAAGATGGAGAGATGCTGTCAGCCAGTGTAGTCAGCACTGAGCTTGGCGGGCCTGGCTCCTGGGCAGCTCTGGGGCCAGGGTTCTGCAGGACCTGGTGGACAGGGACTGACACTGGGGCATCCCAGATGGCATCCTTGAAGTGTAGAACTTCTGCCCCTGGACTTGTTGTGGAAGCGCTGCAGATGGACTAGGCAGGGAGCTGAATGGTGGGGGACTCAGAGCAGATGAGGGGAAGTCTTCACACAGTGCACCGTTAGACCATGGAAATTCACTTCCACAAAATGGTTGCTAGTTGTGATGGGTGATACAGTACCTCCAGGATTGGAAGAAGCCTTATGAGGAACGGTCGAGGGAGTGGAGGACATTTAGCCTGGAAAAGAGGAGACTGAGAAGAGATTTTCATATATCTCAAGGGTTATCACACGGAAGAGGGAACGGGTTTGTTTTCTACTGCTCTGGAGGACCTGAACCAATGGGTTGAAATTACAAGAAAGGAGATTCCGACTCAACTTTAGGAACAACTTTATGATGGGAAGAGTTAGAATCATAGAATCATAGAATCATAGAATCATAGAGTTGGAAGAGACCACAAGGGCCATCGAGTCCAACCCCCTGCCAAGCAGGAAACACCATCAGAGCACTCCTGACATATGGTTGTCAAGCCTCTGCTTAAAGACCTCCAAAGAAGGAGACTCCACCACACTCCTTGGCAGCAAATTCCACTGTCGAACAGCTCTTACTGTCAGGAAGTTCTTCCTAATGTTTAGGTGGAATCTTCTTTCTTGTAGTTTGTTTTTTTTTAAAGTAATTTTTATTAAAGTTTTAAACAACAAAGAAATAAAAGAAAAACATACACAATACATATAACAAAAACACAAAAAACAAAAAAACAAAAGCAAGATTCAACAATAAAAATACAAGAGACATAACAATTAAAAACAATATCTCTGTTTCATTTCCGTTTTTTAGTTGCTTATTTTCTGGACTTCCTCATACCTCCCTCTTTTGTATTCCAATCCAAATTATTTGTCCAGCAGTTTCTTTTCCACTTTTTTAATCCCAATCTTTAATTTGATAAGATATTAAAATATATAACTTCAACTTCTTTAAACCTAATCCTTGGTCTTAATATCAAATACCATTAAAATTTCCCCTCTTAATATCAAATTTCCATTTCTTTAAACATCTTTAATCTTAATCTTTAATCTTAGTCTATCATTAACTTTAACCTGTACAGCTAGAAACCTCTTGTTTTCAGTCCAACATCACTCTAACATTCCTTAATTTTGCAGTGTTTCTGAAGATAGTCTTTGAATTTCTTCCAATCTTCCTCCATCAACTCTTCTCCCTGGTCACGGATTCTACCAGTCATTTCCGCCAATTCCATATAGTCCATAAGTTTCATCTGCCATTCCTCCAGCGTGGGAAGTTCTTGTGTCTTCCAATACTTTGCGATAAGTATTCTTGCTGCTGTTGTTGCATACATAAAGAAAGTTCTATCCTTTTTTACCACCATTTGGCCGACTATGCCCAGGAGGAAGGCCTCTGGTTTCTTAGGGAAGGTATACTTAAATACCTTTTTAAATTCATTATATATCATTTCCCAGAAAGCCTTAATCTTTGGGCACGTCCACCAAAGGTGAAAGAATGTACCTTCGGTTTCTTTACACTTCCAACATTTGTTATCGGGCAAATGGTAAATTTTTGCAAGCTTGACTGGGGTTATGTACCACCTGTATATCATTTTCATAATATTCTCTCTTAAGGCATTACATGCCCTGAATTTCATACCTGTGGTCCACAACTGTTCCCAGTCAGCAAACATGATATTATGTCCAATGTCCTGTGCCCATTTAATCATAGCCGATTTTACCGTTTCGTCCTGAGTATTCCATTTCAGCAGCAAGTTATACATTCTTGACAAATTTTTAGTTTTGGGTTCTAACAATTCTGTTTCTAATTTTGATCTTTCCACCTGGAAGCCAATTTTCCTGTCCAATTTCTTCTTTCTTGTAGTTTGGATCCATTGCTCCGTGTCCGCTTCTCTGGAGCAGCAGAAAACAACCTTTCTCCCTCCTCTATGTGACATCCTTTTATATATTTGAACATGGCTATCATATCACCCCTTAACCTCCTCTTCTCCAGGCTAAACATAAGCCTTATGAGGAACGGCTAAGGGAGCTGGGCATGGGGGGTTGGACTAGATGACCCTCGGGACCCCTTCCAACTCTACAGCCCTATGGTTCCATGTCTCTGCATATCATTTGCTGGGGGAAATGGGTAGGGAGGGCACTGCTCTTGTGCTCCTGTCCCACTTGGGGGCTTCCCAGTGGGGCATCTGCTTGGCCCCTGTGGGAGCAGGCTGCTGGACTAGGTGGGCCCCCTTTGTCCCCTTCTTAGGACAGCTGGGAACCCAGATGTCAAGCCGACTCAGGGTGGTGTCTGACAGCATAGCAATGCGTATTCCAGTTGCGGGTGTGGGTGGATGCTGCTGTCAGTGGCCGTCCAAGGCTGCAGTCTTATCTGACAACAGCAGCTGGGTTGGAAAGCTGCCCCCTGTTTACATTTCCCACAATACCATGGAAGTTCGCTCATTTGGGGCATGATGGGAAATGCAACACAGGTGCATTGTGGGAAATGCAAAATAGGGGCATGGTAGGAAATGCAACACAGGAGCATAGGAAGCTGCCTGATACTGAGTCAGACCATGCGGAGCCAGCTGGCTGCATGGTATGGCTGCACAGATTGCTGTACCACAGCAGGGACACAGAAAAGATGGCTAGCAGCTTCATCTCTCTCTCTCTCTTTCTGGAGGGGGGACAGCTGTTGTGGAGTGACATTTCAAGTGGCCACCAGATGGCGCCGTGTCATCTAAAGCCACTCCAGATTGGATAGATTGGGGTCGGAGCAGCTGCAGCGCTGCTCTCCCTGTGCCAGGTGTTTCTGCACTGGAAGGAAGCAATTCTTTGAGCTGAATCAAGGATGCAAATGTGGCTGACTTGCAGGTATCTGCTTACCTGCAGAACTTATTCTGCTCCTGCTCTGAGAGGGCCCTGAGATCCAGTCCTCCTGACAAATGCAAATCCTGCTCCCTTGCTTCTCCAGCTTTTGGGATTTGGCCAGATACACCATAGTCTTCTGCACTCTCAGGCCTAAGCGGTATAGTTTAAATGGCTAGGAGACTGAGCTGCAACTGTTCACATCTTATCTTCATTGATAATTGGAGTGGGTTGTCTAATACTTTCTTAGCCTCTGCTCCCCCACCTGGAAATGGAAGCATTAATTCTGACCTACTTTACAAGGTTGCTGTAACGAGAAGGAGGGAACCTATGCATGTGACATGATTTGAACATTTGAGGGCCTTCTGTATTTATTGTTTCTCACAAGCAATAGATGAGATGGGGTCCCGCTCCAGACTGCAAGAGGATGCCCTAATATAAAAATACCCGATAGCACATAAAAAACTAGCCTGTCAGAATTCTTCTTTTCAGCATGCCAACTTTCTAGATGCAGGGATTTTTACTTTTACAAAAAAATTGTTATGGAGACTCCTTTGGCACTGGCCAAGCCAAGGTTCACCACAGCAACTGTTGCAGCCACTCTCTTCACAGCCTCAAAGGCTAGAAATTTGTCCCCCCCCCCCCCAGGTTGATGTTCCCAAGAATTATACTCCCAATATCACATTCCTCACTTTTTTTTTTTGACTTGAACAGAATCCCAGAAAACAGCCAGCCTGCTAAAGCTTCTGGCCTCAGGTTCCAATATCTTTTTGCCTGAGGTTCCTGACATAAATGGTTCTTAAAATTGCATCAAGTGGTCCGTGCACCTAGCAGACCTTATTTTGGAATGAAGCTTTTCCTCTGCTGCTTTTTTCTTTAAATGACTGTGCAGATGCTCATTCTGCGTTAACTTGCCCCCTCCTTGTCAAACTCCCAGTGCATAGATAGTACTTCTGCTGTTGCATTAGAAAGACAGTTGGGTGTCTTTCTCTCTAGAATATTAACCCATCTCTCAGTCCTGTCAGGGGTATCTCTGTCCCAAAGAGGATGCCATAGCTAGCTGCATGTGATGGAGGGGGCATTCACTCATTCCTCCAGCCCTGACAAGAAAGAGCGATGGGTTGAGGGAGGTGAGATGTAAACAGGCCAATCAATGGGAGAGTGCTTGGAAGGATGTGATTAAAGTAGCAAAGTAATTGATGGAGCAAGACAAATAAATCTCTCCAGGTTGGAGCCTCTGCCATCTGCAAATAGCTAACAAAAACAATTAGTGATCCCTGTATTAAATCACTGCATCCTGCCTGGCTTTGACGCCCTGATGAATGACAGCTAGACTAGGCCTTAGCCTAAAGATGCGCAAACAGTATCCGTGCGAGGTCTGTATGTGGGTGCTTTCACTCTGAAAGTGGATGCAGCACGGTGTTAAGCGGCCAGAGTCTTGGATTGGGACCTGGGAGGCCTGGATTCAAATCCTTGCCCAGCCATGAAGGTTAGTAGGGTGACTTTGGGCCAGTCACACTCTCTCTCAGCTAATTTGCTTTACAGGGTTTTGTAAGGATAAAATGGGAAAGGAGAGAGCCATAGATGCCACTTACAAGTCAATTGAGGAAAGGTGGGATATAGAGATGTGAGGATGGATGGAGGGATGGATAGATAAATGAATGAATGAATGAACAAACAAACAAATGAATGAATCCCTCAAAAATCCTCGTTTCCTAGCTTGAAGGGGTAAGACGCAGGACCTTGTCCTGGAGGACAAGCCATTGTGAGTGAAGAAAATAATAGGGAGTGAGAGGGTTAAGTGCTCCAACACTCCATCCTCATTGAAAGAAGGGGCAACTCCCACAGCTGCTTTTCCTTTAAAATCATAGCAACTCTCTTTATGAGAAGGCAGAGCGCTGGCCCTTTTAACTCAGTATTGTCTGCACTCCAAGGTTTCACCTGCAGATGAAAGGGATTGAACCCAGGACCTTCTGCATGTGGAGGAGATGCTCTACCACTGAGCTATAGCCCTCGGCTACAAGGTACTTACATAGGACCAGAGTGAAGCTGTTGTGAGCTGTTAAGTTTTGTGGCCTTACTGTCAAGGCCAAAATATTACATAGATTCTTCTGGGCACTTCCAGGCTGGTGTTATTTTTGGGTGGGATTCCATCACATACTGCCAAGTTCAGGTTATGCAGTTATTGCTAATTTTGCACTCTTGAACAACAAACCCCTTTGTGGTAATTGTACCACTCTATTCTGCCTTGGTCAGACCACACCTGGAATACTGTGTCTGATTCTGGGTACCACAATTTAAGAAGGATGTTGGCAAGCTGGAATGTGTGCAGAGGAGGGCAACCAAGATGATCAGGGGTCTGGAAACTAAGTCTTATGAGGAACGGTTGAAGGAGCTGGGTATGAATCATAGAATCATAGAGTTGGAAGAGACCACAAGGGCCATCGAGTCCAACCCCCTGCCAAGCAGGAAACACCATCAGAGCACTCCTGACATATGGTTGTCAAGCCTCTGCTTAAAGACCTCCAAAGAAGGAGACTCCACCACACTCCTTAGCAGCAAATTCCACTGTCGAACAGCTCTTCCTGTCAGGAAGTTCTTCCTAATGTTTAGGTGGAATCTTCTTTCTTGTAGTTTGGATCCATTACTCCGTGTCCGCTTCTCTGGAGCAGCAGAAAACAACCTTTCTCCCTCCTCTATGTGACATCCTTTTATATATTTGAACATGGCTATCATATCACCCCTTAACCTCCTCTTCTCCAGGCTAAACATGCCCAGCTCTCTTAGCCGTTCCTCATAAGCCATCGTTTCCAGGCCTTTGACCATTTTGGTTGCCCTCCTCTGGACACGTTCTAGTTTGTCAGTGTCCTTCTTGAACTGTGGTGCCCAGAACTGGACACAGTACTCCAGGTGAGGTCTGACCAGAGCAGAATACAGTGGCACTATTACTTCCCTTGATCTAGATGCTATACTCCTATTGATGCAGCCCAGAATTGCATTGGCTTTTTTCGCTGCCGCGTCACACTGTTGGCTCATGTCAAGTTTGTGGTCAACCAAGACTCCTAGATCCTTTTCACATGTACTGCTCTCAAGCCAGGTGCCACCCATCTTGTATTTGTGCCTCTCATTTTTTTGCCCAAGTGCAATACTTTACATTTCTCCCTGTTAAAATTCATCTTGTTTGTTTTGGCCCAGTTCTCTAATCTGTCAAGGTTGTTTTGAAGTGTGATCCTGTCCTCTGGGGTGTTAGCCACCCCTCCCAATTTGGTGTCATCTGCAAATTTGATCAGGATGCCCTTGAGTCCATCATCCAAGTCGTTGATAAAGATGTTGAATAAGACCGGGCCCAAGACAGAACCCTGTGGCACCCCACTAGTCACTCTTCTCCAGGATGAAGAGGAACCATTGATGAGCACCCTTTGGGTTCGGTCAGTCAGCCAGTTACAAATCCACTGAGTGGTAGTATAGTCAAGACCACATTTTACCAGCTTCTTTACAAGAATATCATGAGGCACCTTGTCAAATGCCTTGCTGAAATCAAGGTAGGCTACATCCACTGCGTTCCCTTCATCTACCAGGCTTGTAATTCTGTCAAAAACGAGATCAGGTTAGTCTGACATGACTTATTTTTCAGAAATCCATGCTGACTATTGGTGATCACAGCATTCCTTTCTAGGTGCTCACAGACTGTTTGCTTAATGATCTGCTCCAGAATCTTCCCTGGTATTGATGTCAGACTGACTGGGCGGTAATTATTTGGGTCCTCTCTTTTCCCCTTTTTGAAAATAGGGACAACATTTGCCCTCCTCCAGTCTGCCGGGACTTCGCCTGTTCTCCAGGAATTCTCAAAGATGACTGCCAGTGGTTCTGAGATCACATCTGCCAGTTCTTTTAATACTCTTGGATGCAGTTCATCTGGCCCTGGAGACTTGAATACATCTAAACTAGCCAAGTATTCTTGTACTATCTCCTTAGTTATTCTGGGCTGTGTTTTCTTTGCTGAATCATTTGCTCCAAATTCTTCAGGTCAGGCATTGTTTTCTTTATTGGAGAAGACTGAGGCAAAGAAGGCATTGAGGAGTTCAGCTCTTTCTGTGTCCCCTGTTTGCATTTCACCACCTTCTCCTCTGAGTGACCCCACTGTTTCTTTGTTCTTCCTTTTGCTACGGACATACCCATAAAAGCCTTTTTTGTTGCTTTTAACCTCGCTAGCAAGCCTGAGTTCATTCTGTGCTTTAGCTTTTCTGACTTTGTGTCTGCACGTGCTGGCTATTTGTTTGAATTCCTCTTTGGTGGTTTCCCCCCTTTTCCATTTTTTGTACACATCCTTTTTTAATCTTAAGTCAGTTAAAAGTTCTTTAGATAGCCACCCTGGCTTCTTTAGGCACCTTCCATGTTTCCGTCTCATTGGTATTGCCTGAAGTTGTGCTTTTACTATCTCCCTCTTAACAAACTCCCAGCCATCATGAACTCCCTTTCCTTTTAGTATTGCTGTCCATGGGATCTCACCCAGCACTTCCCTAAGTTTTATGAAGTCGGCTTTCTTAAAGTCAAGAAATTGAGTCCTAGTATGCTTGGCTGCTCCTTTCCGCTGTATAGTAAACTTCAGAAGAGCATGATCACTCGCGCCTAATGATCCTTCCACTTCTACCCCACTAACCAGGTCATCAACATTGGTTAGGACCAGATCTAAAATGGCTGTTCCTCTTGTTGCTTCTCCCACTTTCTGGACAATGAAGTTGTCTGCAAGGCCTTATGCTCTTGGCTGAGTTTGACATCCAACAAATATCCGGGTAATTGAAGTCCCCCATTACTACTATCTCCCTTCCTTTTGCATGCTTGGCCATCTGTTCCAGGAAGGCATCATCTATGTCCTCCGTTTGGCTTGGGGATCTATAGTAAACTCCCACAATGAGGTCACTGTTATTCTTCTCTCCCTTAATTTTGACCCAAATGCTCTCACTTTGGCTTTGAGGTTCTAAATCTTGGATCTCTTCACAGGTATACACATCCCTGACATATAACGCCACTCCTCCTCCTTTCTTGTCTGGTCTGTTTCTCTGAAATAGATTGTATCCCCCATTATTACATTCCAATCGTGGGACTTATCCCACCAGGTTTCAGTGATGCCTATTATGTCATATTTAGTTTGCTGTACCAAGAGCTCAAGCTCATCTTGTTTATTTCCCATGCTTTGCGCATTAGTGTACAGACATTGAAGTCCATTAATCATTCCCCGGTGTCTCTTATTTAAGGATTTTTTCCTCCCACCACTAGGTCTGTGTGCTGTTTGCTCCATTTGGTCTATGACATATGGATGATCATCTTCATCAATTGATAGACTCCTACCTTCAGGAGCACTGTCTCCCTCCCCCACATTAGGCAGTTTAAAGCCCTCCTGATGAGGTTTCTGAGATTTTGGCAAAAACATTTCTCCCAACCGTTGTGAGGTGCAGCCCATCGCTTGCCAGAAGTCCATCTTCAAGAAACTGCAGTCCGTGATCTAAGAATCCAAACCGTTCCTGTTTACACCATTTGCGAAGCCAGCTGTTCACTTCCACTATTTCCCCTCTCTCCCTGGGCCACGTCGTTCAACTGGGAGGACAGATGAGATCACAATTTGTGCATTTAATTGCTTCAATTTCCTGCCCAGAGCCTCGTAGTCTCTTTTGATCTTCTGGAGGCTATTGCTTGCAGTGTCATTGGTTCCCACATGAACCAAGAGGAAGGGGTATTTGTCAGTGGGTTTTATGATTCCTTGCAGCCGTTCAGTTACATCTTGGATCTTAGCCCCGGGGAGACAGCACACTTCCCGAGACATCTTGTCAGGCCCACAGATCACTGCTTCTGTTCCCCTCAGTAGGGAATCCCCTATCACCACTACACGCCTCCTCTTAGGTTTGGTCGGGGTTCTTCCATGAGCTGTCCGCTCCAAGGTCGCCTGCACATTCCCTGAGGACTGACTTTGCTGCTCGTCTTCATATACCTGATCAACTGTAATGAGGGAGAGATCCTCAAATGGAGTCTGCTCTTCGTCTTCCATGCTAGGGAGAGGACCTCAAAGCGATTGTGTATTTCTAAACAATCAGAGCGAACCCTGGGCCTCCTACTTCTTTGAGTCACGTTTCTCCATATATCTGGCTCCTGTGTTGGTGAACTAGCCTCCTTCTCAGGGGAGTCCCCTGTCTCCTCCTTGGTGGAGACGGTGTGCTCTGTTGCTTCCAAGAAGAGCTCCAGCTCTCTAATTCTTTGGAGCGTAGCTACACGTTCCTCCAGTTGTTGGACTTTGTCTTTTAAGAGGGCAATCAACATGCAATTGCTGCAGGTAAAGCTGCCTGCAACCTTTGGCAAGATGGCAAACATTGCGCAGGAACCGCAGGCGACTGCAGCTGTTCCCTTCCCCTCCATCTTGAGAACGTGTCGTCGGGGGTGGCTACAGCGGTCCTCGATCATAAAAAGCGTGAAGACAGGAAAAATAACTCCCCCCACAAAAAAACCTAGGTCTCCCCCAACAAACGTTTGAGACTAGCTCCCCTAAATCTAAAAGACGGATCAAACTGCGGCGCGCGGCGCTGCCCTGCAAGCTCTGATAAGCTCCTCCCACAGCTAATCACCTGCCTCCACAGAAACCCTGCCCCCTCTGACCTTTGCACAGGGAGAGCAGCCAATCAGCCACAAAGAAACACACACACACACACACACACACACACACGAAAACCCTTTTTGCTCCTTCTTCAACTGCTGTCCTGCAAGTATGTTTAGCCTGGGAAAGAGAAGACTGAGAGGAGACATGATAGCTATCTTCAAATATCTCAAGGGCTGTCACGTGGAAGTGGGAGCATGCTTGTAAGACTCGAACCAATGGCTTCAAGTTACAAGAAAGGAGATTCCAGCTAAACATCAGGAAGAACTTTCTGACAGTAATAGCTATTCAGCAGTGGAATGGTCTCCCTTGGGAGGTTTTTAAGCAGAGCTTGGATGGTCATCTGTCAGGGATGCTTTAGCTGAAAT